GGAGAATTGGGGGAGGCTGTGAGGGAGGAGAAGGATTAAGGAGAGGGTAAACGGGGGTGTGGGGAGAGAGGGACGCCCAAGAGGAGGGATCTGGGGAGGGGGAGACCGGGGGGCGACGTTGAAGGCGGGGATGCCCCGGGGGAGGTGAGGAGAGAGGGAGACCCGTGGGGGGGGAAGGGAGTTGTGGGCAGGGAGGCTGTGGAGAGAGGGAGAGGCAGGCTGTAGAGGAGGGGGTGTGGGGAGGAGATTTTGGGGAGAGCTGGTGGAGGGGTCTGCCTGAAGGGAGGGATATTTGTCCAGTGGCTTAGAGGGGAGCAGGGGCGGTGTTATGTCCCTGATCCCCCTCACGTTCCCTTTCCGGAAAGGATTTGGGGTGACCCTGATCGAGCAATGTCCTTTTACCTCTGTCTTTCCCCTTACTCCAGAGGCTGAGAGGCAGCTTCCCGTGGGCATTTCCCTTGGGCCCTCTCCTGTCCTTTTTCCTTCCTAGTATGCTTTTGCCTAGCAGTACAAATGTGACCTGTTTCTCACCCACTGCTACCGTGATATGTGAGACTAATGAAGTACCTCCATCTTCTTTCTTTTCCCAGCCCACACTGGGGTGGGACTGTCAGAGGCTGGTGTTGTGTAACTTGTGTGCCAAAGGGGACACAGAAAGTCAGTGGCCTCTGGGTACCTTGGTTTCCAGCTGTCATAGTGGGAATAATAGCTGTGCCCTTCTGCAAGGAGTTGTACGGGGATCAAAGTTCATGAGGCAGTCTGATCCAGCAGTAGCGATGGCTGGGCCTGCAGGTCTTACATTAGTGAATTAACCTCCTGCCAAGTCCAGAGTGCTCCTAACTTAAAATGCGGTTTATGTGTCTAATGGGAGAGTGCCCTGTTGCTAGAGTCCCTCTCTCCAAAAGTTTTGACTTCTTCCTGATTTCATTAACTTTTAACTTTCTGATATCTGTACCTTGAGGTACAGCAGGTGAAATGCTGAATCCTTTCTCACTCACTGTCTATTGAAGTTTGTGGAAACTGAATTTGTTTTCCTCTTCTGTTCTGTCCCCAGAGGCCTTAGTTATTAATGACCCTGACTTCCAGCACGAGGATTTGAACTTCCTGTCCCGTAGCCAACGTTATGAGCAAGCCATCAGGAAGAGCTCTCTGATGGTGATGAAGTTAAGAGAGTATGGAATTGCAGATCCGGAGGAGATCTACTGGTTTAAAAGGTACCTTAGCTGTAGAGTTTGCTTCTTGTGTGTAGTTTGATCATCACCACAGACATTAGAGTTGCACTTTTTTCCTCTGTTAGCTGTCCAAAGGAAGCTAAAGACTTCTACGAAAGCCCACTGAAGTCTTGGCTTCAGTGAATTTCAGATGAAACCCTGATTTCCTGAATATTGTGTTGTCTTAGATTTTTGACTAGAAATGCACTATTAATAATTGCACCCTTTTTATTATATGTGGTGCTGAAAGTAAAAAAACAGGACTTGTAGTCTGATATTTTTTCCCAAAAGGAATAAAAAATATACTGCAATATTTTGAATCTGAGTAGATCTGATGATGTTACAGCTTCTAATGAAATCTCTTAAAGCTGATTACTCCACTTTGCACTTAGACCTAGTAAAGTTGCATTACAGGCATACTTGAAAATGCTCCAAGATAGTTAAGCAAGAACTTATAAGCTATCTGTTCTGTCTCCCTCCTCCAGGCGCCTGGTGCTATAGTGGTTCCCTTTGACCCAGAGGCTTTTTAATGTATCTGACCTGTTGTTTATCTGGTAGTATTACCCTTGGACTAAGTTAATAATAATAAAATTCTTTACATCTGAGTTTCTTTCCTTCTAGCTTGCAGGGAACTTAGTTCCTGACTCTGATATACTTCTCCCCTTAGTTCTATTAAACTTATTCTGATATAATCAAACAGAAACTGTTTAACAGAGATTGCACAGCTCTAGAAATCTGGACATAATACCATGAATATATCCTCTGGCACATTAAATGACCATTGCCCATTAAATAATGCACAGGTAGAATCACTAGCCCCCTCTGACTGGATTTGTAGAAAAGCTGTCACTGGCCTCAGGGCATGAATATTGGGACTAGTTAGTTGAAATCATCTTTGCTGCTGCAGCTTTAATTTCAAAGAAATTAGTCAACACTGACATGTCATGAAAGTTTACATGGAAGTAATGTAAATGTTCTTCTGAAAAGTGGCATCGATGGGCAATGATAACAAGGCAAAAGTTCAGTGACTGTATTAGATTATTCAGGTACTGCATGGCAAAAGTTAATCATTAATTTTTCCTACACAAGGATTATTGGAGGTGATAGGGAAGTCTCCTCAATTGTTTTTATGGAGAAAATTCAGAGAAGTCTATCCAGTATACCAGCTGCCAAATTTCAATGAAGCTCCCAATGTAAATGCTGTCTTTTGGTATCATTGCTGACATACTTTATGAAAATAGGATGTTTCTGAGGTAGTCAAATGTTAGATTCTATTTTTTTTCTGGCTATAAACTTATTTGGGAGTCAGCAATTCTTAACTTCAAGTGGATGAAAGCTTCGTATTTCATATAGGTACCAAATAATGCATCTGTGTGTTATGTGATATGAGTAGTCAGGTGTGACTAGTCAGAATTCATGATCCAAAATCAACTGAAACAATGAGGAAAATTGAGAGTCAGTTCTAATTATTTTTTAAGAGTCAATTCTAATTGCAGACATTCAGGATTTCAAAAGATAATTGTGATTACTGCAGACTGACTGTATTTTCCAGTGTCTTCTGTAATAATATGTAGAAGAATGAAGAGCAGTACAATATACTTCTTACCTACAAGTGAAGTTTGTTTGCTCTAAGAACTGTATACTGTTGTTATTCTTGATCTGAATTCTTTAACGTCTGGTGTTTGCAAGGGAGAGTATTGGCTTACTGCTTCTTAATGAATGGAAGAAATTAAAGGATTATTTTTTCATCCTTTGATTTCATTTGCATTTTAACATCTGTCCCCAGTCTCATCTGCTGAGTGTCAAACATCTTTTTAAGCTTGGTGAACTCCACCAGATTGCAAAATTAAGTTTACTTCTATCATGTATCCAAACATGCTAATTGGTGCTAACTAGAAGGGACTTCATTTGTGTAAAAGCTGACCTGAAGAAATTGTGTTTGGGTTTATTTGTTTTTCCAAACTGGAAAATTCAATGGATATGGTGTGTGACACCCCTTGAATGAAATTCATGAAATGAAGTCCTTGAATCACATGTCAAGTTGTATTTATTGTGATTGACTATCAGATTTTTACGTATGGAAGCTTAAGATATTTTGCCAGTAATCCCTCATGCCTTGTGATTATCCCCAAACAGTAGGGACAGATTTATTTACATATGCAATTTTTGAGAACTTTGAGCTAGTTCTTTTCCTGTAGCTTTCGTATATTGCCAGAACTCACTAGGTAGCTTTGCATCATGACTGACCAACTTTATAGCTGGATTTATGAATAGGTGAGGAGAAAAGCTGCTTCTTTCAGCTCACGTGGAGATATGCATAAACAGTTGTTGGCTGCTGAGACATGTTGAACTGAATGCTTCTCCTTCCTGTTTCAACAAGGGCTTTGTTGGACTCCAAAACATAAGAGCATTTGTTAAATATATTTAGAAGCCATTTTAATTGCTTCTCATCTAGGCAATTTTTCCTATGTCTTAACATGTGTCAAGACTGCAGTTGCTGCTGTGACTACAGCTTTTGAAGGCCAGCAGTCTTAAAGTGCCAATATTTAAGATTTCTTTTACAGTCTAACTGCAGCAAAATGTAAGTCAGTATGAAAAATGGGAAATTGTTCTGATGTGTAGTGCTACACAGCTCTTTGAAGAGAGCTGTCTGGTCATTTTAATTCACCTTCAAGTTTAAATTACCTTCATTGAGGAAAATGGGATAAAACAAAGACATGAAAAACAGTTGGGAGAAACTGGGTTGCAGAAGAAGAGAAGATCCAAGAGCTGCAAGTCAACAGATGATTCCTGTGTTCATAAGCAGTGTATGAACGCATACCTTCCCTGTGAGGATTTGTCCTTGCTTCTCATTTTGACACTAAAGTTAGGACTGGAGTAGCTTTCAGCAAACCTGAAAAACTGTAGTAAGGGCCCTACTAGTCACTGCTAAACTAATTTGGAATGGATGAATCTATCTTGTGGTTTTTTTTTGATACAGCTAGAAAAGGAGTTCATTACTATAGCATTTGTTAACTGAAGTCCATTAAGCACAGGTCAGGCATACCTCCTGTTCCTTTCCCACTGAGGTGACTCTTCATGCTCTTCCTTGATAGAGTTACCTCAATAACAGCAAAAAGCTAGAAGAGTTTGCTTGCAGATAAATGACCCTATTCTGTGACCCGTTCTGCAGCCTGAGAATGTCATTGCAATTGTTCATTTAGCTTTGGAGTCTCTGAAAATACAGACTTTGCTTCTGTTGTACTCTGTTCACTGATGTGCCATCAAACTTGTCTGTCAAATACAAGTGCCTTTTACTATGTGGGTGGTGTTGGTTACTGTGAAATCTGGAAAGATCTTCATTGCTAAAGTAGCATATTACTACGCATACTTCTCCCATAAGTGGGTTTGGAACTGCAGCCCTCCTCTTGACTCACTGATTGTCGTAGCAAGTCTGACTTCAGACCAACAAGGTGATCACTGGTCAGTGATCCGATGGGTAGTGCTACATGCCGCTAGCCACATTCAGACCCGATGTAGTAAAGTACTTGAACAGTTCCACAGTGTTGGAGAACAAGCTGTATAGGTAGTGGGAATATAGAAATTGGGAGGGGAAA